TGGTAGGCGGGGCAGCCGAGCCAAGGGCGGAATGGTGGGCGGGGCAGCCGAGCCAAGGGCGGAATGGTGGGCGGGGCAGCCGAGCCAAGGGCGGAATGGTGGGCAGGGCAGCCACCCCAGTGGCAGAATGGTAGGCGGGGCAGCTGACCCAAGGGCGGAATGGTGGGCGGGGTGGATTGGGACACTTGAAGGCAGGGCAGCCACCCCAGGGCACAGGCCCCTCAACAATGTGAAGAGCCCCCCTCCCCCAACTGCAAATCTCACATATATTTGTAAGGAATAAGGCACGCATATTATATGGTACCAAGACCTGCTACTTTTGTATCTCTCATTTTTATGTATACAGTTATGGTGGGAAGTATAACACATTTGGTACAATACTTTTTTTTGGTACAACAATTTTGAAATGCAATAGTTTATAATGTTTGGTAGTCAGACTATGTTGCTGAGGCGGGTATTTGATGGAAAAATGATGTTTGTGGAATCTGCTAACTACTGCAGTGCATGATGGGTAAGATATTTGGAGGTTATTTAAATTTCATCTGCAACTGCTGCAGCTGGCGTAGGCAGGAATTAGGTGTGAATTTAAAAGGGGGGGGCATGGTCCATTTTTGCCCTGGGCCACTGGTGTGACCATGTGTCTGACTGTGTGTATTTGTATGTGTGTGATTGTTCATGCGTGTGTGTGTGCGTGTGTGTGTGTGTGTGTGTGCGTGTATGATTATGTTATTGTGTATGATTGTGATTGTCACATTTTAACTGCATTTCGACAGACTTTCGTAGCGCTGGGATAATTACCATCATGCTGTCATTACTATCAACACAAACATTCTCGCAAGCATGGCAGTAATGCAGCCCTGTCGCTGCCTTGGTGATAGTACCCCACAGCCGAGAGCCTATTTCTGCTCCTCAGCCTTGGGGGGGGGGGGGGGGTCACTGTATTACCGCCACCAGGGGGCGCCACCCGTCTCCGTGCCGCGGCCGTTCCCATGTAAGCAGTTGTCTCACTCTCCCTTCTCCAAAATTCCATTACCCATCCAACACCCATCATGGCTTCTAAATGACTCAACGCTGCATTGTCAAAAAACAGGGTCATGGATTGGACTCATTCAGCCTCCAGAAATGAGCTGGGGCCTCGAACACAGCCTCCAGGCACCAGCCCTACTGCCCCTGCCTGACGGCGGTTTGTTGCCCCTTAAGACAAGACCACCTGTATCCGACATTTTCCATGCGTCGGTCTGGAGAGAGCAGGGGGAGTGGGTGGGGAGGGGGGAGGCTGCAGGTGTGCAGCCCCTCCCTCGCCTGTCTCCGTTACTTATCTAGTACCTAAGAGAGCGAGTGCAGGAACATCTGTACAGGATCAGTACATATATCCACTCCCACGCTGATGCGGCCCGGACTGCGTCTCCAGGGAAGCTCCGCGTGTCAGCGATCTGGCCTTTCCTTGTCAGGCCGACTCAAACGCCGCCGTATCTTCGAGGTCACCTTGTTCAGTCGCATTCAACTTCGCTGCAAATTGCTGTGCGTTTGTGCGAGAACGGGCATAACGGGACGGCGGCCAGGCGGCCAGGCGGCACAGCGAGGCGTACCTGTCTCTCGGTGAGGTCGAGGTTCACGGCTATTTCGTATCGTCGCAGCCGCGTCAGATAGTTGTGGTGGGAGAATTCGGCCTCCAGCTCCCGGATCTGCTCCTTGGTGAACGCCGTCCGCTCCTTTCTGGGCTTACTGTTCGCCTCACTCTTGTAATTCCCATCCTGGGAGTCTGAAATGAGAAACAGCCGCTGTCCAGTTGCCATCAATTTAAATTAAATAAAATAAAATATCATAAAATAGAAGCTGAAATGTAATAAGGAAAATAGCAGGATTTGAATATTTTTAGTGGAATTGTGTGATAAAGGCACCGTGAGTCTCTGCTATATGCAGTTATGGTCACGAGTCACCCTTCATTACAATGCATGTGAGAAACTACATGGACATCGTTGCTTTATTGTTTTTTGCATTTTATTTGCTGTTAGTTAAATCTGCCATTCTAATAATTTTTTTCAAAAACTGTTTAGCCTGATACATATGAAATTGTAGTTATAATTTTTCTTTCTGAGTTTCCTGAAGTAAATCTGTACAAGCATGTCACAGGTGGTGTCCCGAGTGGTGTGTGGGAGCATGTTTAAGTGGCCCCCACGTGGCATTTGAACCCCCCGTCACCAGATCTTTTTGTGTATTCCCCTCCATCACCTGCAATCTGAATAAAAGACTGTGTGTTCATTTAAGACCCCCAACTGGGGAACAAAACAGCAATAAAGAAACTGAACTATCGCTGAACTTCTCCGCCCTGAGAGAGCCCTGAATATCCAATGCGGCAAGATGAGGGTCTAACATCCGAAAGTCCTGGTGCAGCCCGGTCCGGTTCGCTCGTAACCGTGACAGACTGCTGCCACCAAATCGACAAAGTGACAGTTTCAGTGTGAGTCGCAGAGAGATTGGGCCACGGTGACTGGACGAGGGCCGTAATTATGACCAGACTGTTTTGGTGCAGTGAAAAGAACAGATGAGTGTGTGTGTGTTTTTTTTACTTTTATAATGAGAAAAAAATCCTGGTGTTAGTTTCTCCCAATGTGGCTCTTAAGATCAGACGGGGCAACCGCTTTTAGCACCACCCAGCGACCACATCACACTCCGAGGCGACGGAGCTTAATTACTATGCCATCCCAGGGCGCTACACAGTGGATGTGACTCGCTGCATGCAAAAGGGGCCCCCGCCAGACGGGACTCTCCCATGCCACGTCGTTAAGGGAGAAACGGCAAAGCCTGACACGCGCTCAGCCAGGTTAGCGCGTGACTTGGGGCGGAAGCCACGCCTCAGCCTGCCAGTAAACACACGCTCAGCCAGGTTAGGGCGTGACTGAGGGCGGAAGCCGCGCCTCAGCCTGGCAGTAAACACGCGCTCGGCCAGGTTAGGGCGTGACTGGGGGCGGAAGTCGCGCCTCAGACTGGCAGTAAACACGCGCTCGGCCAGGTTAGGGCGTGACTGGGGGCGGAAGCCGCGCCTCAGCCTGGCAGTAAACACGCGCTCGGCCAGGTTAGGNGGGCGTGACTGGGGGCGGAAGCCGCGCCTCAGCCTGGCAGTAAACACGCGCTCGGCCAGGTTAGGGCGTGACTGGGGGCGGAAGCCGCGCCTCAGACTGGCAGTAAAGACGCGCTCGGCCAGGTTGGGGCGTGACTGGGGGCGGAAGCCGCGCCTCAGCCTGGCAGTAAACACGCTCTCGGCCAGGTTAGGGCGTGACTGGGGGCGGAAGCCTCGCCTCAGCCTGGCAGTAAACACGCGCTCGGCCAGGTTGGGGCGTGACTGGGGGCGGAAGCCTCTCCTCAGCCTGGCAGTAAACACGCGCTCGGCCAGGTTGGGGCGTGACTGGGGGCGGAAGCCGCGCCTCAGACTGGCAGTAAAGACGCGCTCGGCCAGGTTAGGGCGTGACTGGGGGCGGAAGCCGCACCTCAGCCTGGCAGTAAACACGCGCTCGGCCAGGTTAGGGCGTGACTGGGGGCGGAAGCCGCGACTCAGCTAGGAATACCACCTTTTAACTGCATTTCATGGGGGGGCAGTTTGCTTTGTTTTGATCTAGAGATTTCTTTAGGTTTAATGTATCCCCGTCTTTCTGCAAATTTTAACCCCCCACAAAAAGCCGAACATCAGGAATAAATAATTGTAATAATTTTATAATTGTAGCTCACTAATACTTTGCCAGTAACACATGAATCTAACAGGTCAGCTGAATATAATATACTCCACTTATAAATTTTGGAAAGAAATGCTACGGACACATTTTAAAAAAGATGAAACAACGATTATGATTTTAAAAGCTGGGAGATGATTTTACAGGAAGGAGCACATTCGGCTGTTCGAAGCATTTTTACATCGGAATGTATCAGTTTTGCCAGTTTGATATGGCACTTCGCATCTGTCATATTTTAATTAATTTTCTAAGCCTAAAAAGATCTTACTGATTATTTTCTGTAGGCAGCATGTCTGACCTGTATCGGAAGTGGCCTTTAAGGGTAATGATCATTCTAGACGACTGGTGCTGGTGTTATCACCATATCAGAGACATATATATTGCTCTTATGAAATAATTCTCCATAACTGACGTATATAGTTTGTTTTCCTGGTATTTGAGAAGACACCATATGTATACTGTATCACCCCTTGTTTATTTTTAAGGCTCCGGAACAAACTGCCTTTAGGTTCTTCCAGGAATGTTAAAAAAGGGTCCTGGATATAGAGTGAGAGGTATATCAGGAACCAATGTGAATTCTAGTGGGGTGGATGTACCATTAATCACCTGGAGCCCAAAAAGGTGGCTGGGACGATCTCATGGGACGATCCCCCCCACCAAGAGGACTATGCCCAAATGACCCTACACCTTGATTGGGATCACCAGATAAGCTCCAACAAGCTCAATGACACCCCCCCCCCCCCCAAAAAAAAAAAAAATGTGGGACCATGTGCAGACATTAATTACCATGCCGATCACGGATGAAAACACAGGTGGGTGGGGGGAAGGGGGCAGATTCTGCTGGATTCCAGGCGGTTTTACAGTGCAGTGGGGCCACCTGTAAACTATTATTGGCCGTAAGAAAACAGTCACCCTAAATTATCCTCATGAATCTGGGGAGGCGCAGAAAATTAAAGAAAAGCTCACTGGTGTCAAGCAAAAGCGCTAAAAAAAATCCGGGGCGTCGTGAAGAATATCAGTAGGCTACTGCACGAATAAAAAATGAAAGAAACGTTTTTGTCGGGGATATGGATTCTCTTTTCTCAAACTTTAACATGAGCTGCAGTGTAATATTTGGACAGTCCGGCTCGGTTTCTAATATACTGTAAGTGTTACGCGGAATTATGGTTCCGCATCCTACAAGCACGCACACAGGGACGGATTAGAGGCTGAACACGCAGCCCCTCCTATACATCCCGCAAATTAGTTTAACTATGGCCTTACCGAGTGGCGTGTATATTTTCTTTGGCCTGTGAATAATTTTTTACAGCCCGGCGATGGATTGTTTGAAAGCATGACCGAAAGTCGTGCCCTCTATGCAGACACGGGAGGCCATGCGGAAAAGAGCGCACTCAGCACCCCAGTAAGCGACACGTCCTCGGAGCCCGTTACTCTCCCGTTACTCTCTGCTGTGTGATGACGCTGTACCTCCGTGCCGCACTCCGTACGCTGCGCCTGTGACTTCGATGGAAATAATAAAAGAAACGGGCCGTCAAAATGTGCGTGAAAAAATAAAACGGTGACTTATTATTTAGTCATTAAGTCTGACTTTTAAAATAAAATTGTAAAAGTTTTTTTTAATATCTTATGGGATAGGAAAGTTGTAATAATTATGTAATAATTAAGTTATAATTAAGATGTAAGATATTACATGAAGGTCAGATATATAGGCGGGCCTATATAAATTAAGTTTTAATGCTGTTAAAATATTTCACTAATAATAAATTTTACACCTGATCCAAATTTGTCACAGTAGAATACTTTAACCAAACATCTGACAGTTTAATGCCATACGCAAAGAGGTATTTATGTGCGCATAAATTAAACTTGGGTAACTTAAATGTAAATCAAATCAAATGTGGAAAGACACACAGACGTGGCTGTATTTACTTCGCTGCTGACTTACTGACTGCGTCTCAATGTACAAAACAATCGAATAAGTAGTATTTATGGAGAACGCTTCGTCTTCCTTCATGTGTGACCGTTGCACTTGCAACTGCATCGAGAAATAACCTATATAACGTATTAGAACTAAAAAAAATGCATAATTTTATTAAACGCTTTTTTTTATACATTTATTATATTAGCGCAGCTGGAGTCTGTAACATCCGCTAGTCTGCCTGCCCGCTACTGCAAAAATGTTTTCTGTGGAAAAACAAAAATCGATGGGTAAACAGTTTAGTCTCGTTCTTTATCACCAAGGCTGTAGCCGGTAGGCTGTAAGTCTTATTTTGTAGGTTCCAGGGACCAAATAGATGCCAAATAAAACCAACAGGTGGGGTTGTCTACAAGGGCGTAACTTTGGCTGGAACATTGGGGGGTTGAGGTCTCCACCCATTAGGGGGAAACATGATTATTGGGGGGGTTGTATTAGCTGGTTTTGATTTATTGGGGGGGGGGGGGGGGTGTAACCCCCCATCCCCCCCGTAATTTACGCCCATGGTTGTCTAAAACGGCACCAGAACACTAAACCAAACATTCAGTGTTTGTCAGTTCATAAACGAAACAGCAAATCCATCATTCCATCCATCCATCATTCCATCTTCTACCCGTTTATCCTGGGCAAAATTGGCGGGTACGCGCGGTGTACGCCAGGCAGCATAGGGCACGAAGCAGATGTACACCCTTGATGTAAAGCCAGAACAACGCAAGCCTCTTCCGCGATTATTTGTAATATGTAATAATATTTACAATAAAACTCCTTAGATGGAAGTTAAACGTTTAGTTTTCCAAATAATAGTATTCACTTTATGTCTGCACGGAAAATGAAGTATTGAGCAAATTTTCAGTCTGATTTCCACAGCAATAAATTTAACTATTAATAATAAACTATTCAAATATTAATTGTTAGCTATGACATAACTAGTACTGTTATACGAATGTCATAGCTACACATAATAATAATAATAACTTTTTAACTTTAAATTATAAGACATAATTTAATTAGTTTATTATATGTAATATAATTATTATTTCATTTCAATGTTTACTATGCATAATTTATTTACATTAAAATTAGCAATTAACCCAAAAGCTACAGCCATGTTTGTTCCAAAGGCGGCCGTCTTTTCGGCGAGGTCGCTGTAGCAAACAGCGGCTGGAGGATACGGTCATTCCCCAGGTCTGTTTGGTACAGCCAGTCCACCACGTGTTTCCCCAAAGTGCCAGACTGGTACCTGATCAGAGTGTTTGCCTGCTCTGGGCTCCCATACCAAAGTATCATCTGTCAGCGCCTGTCTCACACATCCCTTACCTTTTATACAGAGTTCATATAAATACCCAGATTTCAAGTTCAATATAAAGCAAAACTGGCAAACATGTGCAACCACTGTTTTTAATGAAACTGACTGCGATATAAGCTAGACAACATTAACTTCTAATGAACTTGATCTTTAAATTTAAAACGTTAAATGACCGAAAACGCCTGAATTGCCAAACACTAAAAATAATTTAACAATTTTTAATAAAATATTTCTGCAATTTTTAACTGATGGTAATTATTATGACTAGTGGAATATCCATTTATATTTTAATGCAGCTTTTCTAACAGTTTTCTATGTGTAAAAAAGACACTTCAACCTCATTAATATGGGCACTGTGCAAAGCAGCGTAATCAGCGAAAGCTGCGCGCCGGGGGGGGGTTGGGGTCGATCCCCGTCTTCATCTTACCTGAGCTGTCACTTTTCAGCTTGGCGGCCCTCCTGTCCAGGTCAGCTGGGGACATTGTCCGTGGGCCAAGATCCCCCGGCGTGCAGGGCAGCCCGGTCGGGGTGCTGCCAGCCGCACTGGCACACAGCTCCGGAGAGCCGGAGGAAGGGGGCAGGAGGCCGAGTCCGTGCCTGACGCCAACTGGTGGTGGGGAGGACATCTGCGGTAAGTGCCAGCCGGATGGGTGTTGGTGCTGAGGCGGATGCAGCTGGCTGCGGTGGGGGGCACCGCTGAAGACCCCCCCGTCGACCGGGTAACCCGGCACAGTGCAGGACGGCGACGACCCCTGCAGGTCCGGGTATGAGACGTGTTCAGAGCGGCCAAACTGGGCGAAGGCTGGATGCAGGGCCTGCGCGGGTGCCGGAGCATGGGGGCTGCGCAGGCAGCCAAACAGACTGTGATCCATGACACACACCTAGGGAGCGCAACTACGAAGGCGGGGGGCCGTAGCTGGAACAGCAGCAGGGGCCCCTATGTGACCAGGAGGTTGAGTAGAGTGGCGGCAGAGGCAAGAAACAGCTCAGGGTCCCGTTGAGGCCTGGCCCCGAGCTCGCAGATCTCCCCCACCCCCCCGCTGATGGGATGGCGCAGGAGCTGCGCACGGCACTGACAGGAAGATCCAGCCGTATCCCCGGGCATGCAGCCGGCCGGCAGGCTGCACAGGGCCTGGACGCGGACCTCACCCGTCCGCCGGTGAGCAGCTTCTCGGATGACGGGGCAGCGGAGCAGACGAGAGGGGGAGAGCGCAGTGAGGAGGGAGCGGGCTGGGGATCCGTTATAAATAGGCTGTAACGTGAGAGGGAGGCCGGGCCAGACTCGGGGCGTACCGGCCGCATGCATGCGATCAGCCCTCCGAGGAGCAAGGCGCAATAAATCTGCAGAGCTCCGGCAGCTAAGCCTCCAGAAAGCACGCTATTTATTTTGGATTCGGGCTGCAAATTCCCAGGGAAGCAT